TCAACTGAGTCCCAGCGGGTATGTCATGTGACAGGACTACCGGTCCCATAGCCTTAACGGGTTTGTTGGCAAGAGTGGCGGTCATCCTATTCTTACTTTCCGTAAACACTTTCGTGGGTTTGTTTTGAGCCATACTTAAAGTCGGTTTAAAACTCATGAAAATACAGAGAATTTTAGCTAAAATATACAAAACTTTTACTTTATTTCTATCGCATATACAGTAAATTAAAATCCAAATTCTGTGTTAATAATAAAAACTGATTTTTCGAGAGAATATTCTCGTTTATGTCACAGACGTATACCATAAACACACATGAATTTTACATTAAATGTCTCACACACTGTACTGCATGTCGTTGTATATGAAGTATTCATTTGTTAATTACATGCTATTGATTGCTATTAGGCGTACCATTTAGTGTCAATCCCTGTAGTAATACACATTTTCGTGAATAAAACTTTTTTATTTTGTGTTTCACACAAATATTTTACAAATTCATACTCTTTGAAGCATACCTACCCGTCCGCACAGATAATCATACGCATCATTACTATCACTTTTAATATCCGCCCACTTCCATGACAAAAGGTCCGGGGTTTCCGTGCTGTCCTCCTTATACCTCATTGGGCACATGTATGTCTGTCCTACGGGGGGGATCATCAGGTACCAAACCTTCATACATGGGAATGCCCAGACTAATTTATACTAGTAAATAGCAGTATATAACTAGGTGAAATATAAAAGGAAATCTTGTAAATTGTTACAAGCAATTTTAAATTATTAATTTTCATATTAAACATTCAATAATAATTAATTAAATAATTTGTTGTTATATTAATAGACTACCATGAACATCATCTATTTAAAATTAATTCCTTTTATTAAATTCATTGTGTCATAGCATACAAAAATTTTTAAAGATTTTTATTGTACTTAATTTTGTCGCCAACAATAATTTTCTTTCTGTTACCTTCCTCAATAATTATTGGTTTTAAATTAACATTGACACCATCACCATGGTCAATTCTATTAACAAGTGGCATTTGTGAGTAAGAGCCTCCCGTATGACAGTTTTTAAAATTATCAGGATCGTCGACAGCCTTTCCGTTCGAGCATTTTAAATCGGGAATACGTTTGAACAACGCGCGCTGTTTGAGCCAGTACGATTTACAATCCTGGCAATCGAAATTGGTGCTATCAAATCGACCAATCACATTTAACGGGTTGGCCGCAAAAAATGGCCAAAACACGTCTTCGGGAAAATATGTAAATTTGGAAATTGCCTGAGAATTTGACAAATCGATTGAGGTGGGTCGATTGATCCCGATCAATGAATTACGCGCGAAACTTGATGGCGTAAGATATTCATTGTCGCTAAGTGAAATGTGCAGGGTAGAGTTACTGGGTTCGTCCATGGCGAACGCATTATCGCCAATGTAAGTTAGGTTGTTATCCCACAAACTCAAATCAGTAAGCGCAGTCAGGTGGCTGAATAAATTGCCATTCAAAATTTGTAAATGTCCTGCTGTCTCAAAAAAGCTTAAATATTTTTGATGACCCTGGCGAAACACACCAGCATCTAGTCCAGTTAAATTGACACCAAGTAGACTGACTTGTTCAACCACTTCAAATCTGTAAATTGATTATACTAACTGTATTAACAAGATTAACTTTTGCTTTCAAAATATAGAATAATTTATGATACAACTTTGTTACCCTACCTCATAACAACATCAAATAAAGCATGTCCTGGTAGTGACCAATCATTCCAAAAATAAAAAAATTTTGTATAATTGTAATTTTGACCGAAAGCATCAGGGTGGATTTCTGTCAATTCTGAATTATAGAAGTCGATAATTTCGAATAAAATATCTTGAAATAAGTTAGCCGTTAGCTTGGTGTTATTGTGGTTGTCGAATAAAAAATGTTTAAAATATTTTTGCTCCGGAGTCAGAGTTTTGCTTAATTTTGTAAATATCGCTTCCAAATCGACAAATGTCTCCCCGGTACAATTTATGATATTTTGTTCGCACCCGGTACAAGGTAATATTGCACTTGGATCAGGACAATTACAACTGACTAGCTTAATGTTCGTAATTATTGCAAATAGGCCAAATATTTCTAAAATATAAAATTTTAAAAAATATATTCTCATATGGTTATATTGATACTTACCTAGTAATAATTTCATATTTAACTTTATTTATTATACCATGTATTATTGCTTAAAAGTAAATATTATTTTAATAAAATTAATTAAAAAATAGCTATTTATATAGTAGTGACTTATTGATATATAATTTAAGTTGTTTACAAATTTTTGCATTGTGATTCAACCCACCTGGATGATTTTGCAATAATAAAACTGATTAATGTAACGATTAACTTATTAACTTATTTATGTGCATGTGTGAGAGAGATGGAGAGATAAGCGAGGTTATTAATTAGAAAATTAACTGAGAAAAATAACTTGAATGTCACCTGAATAAACAGTGCCCAGTGTGCCCAGTGTGCCAAAAAGTCAGTGTGTCAATATATTTTATTAAATTATCGACATGTGAAAATCGATATGAATTTTATGATTAACTTATACAAACACTTATGCATAAATGTCTCTGGATTAAAAACAGATAATATTTAAGTATAAATTCTAAAATAATTTTATTTCTATAGTAATTAAAAGCAACTTTTTAAAATTACAATCAGAGTATAGCGTCATACCCCACGTGGTGGGAAGAACCAATGAGACAGGTGGTCAAAATGGGCGTATAATGTAATTGTAATGTGGTGCAACTGTATTTATTGTATTGGTACTCAGGTTATAGTGTATTGGGCGGACAAATGGCAAATTAAATATGAGTTACCGTCCAATATGTCCAAAATTATCCCAATATATGTAATTAAAGTGTAATAAAATGAGTATACAGTAAATATTAAGCAAAAATAAACAATATTATTAATTTATACATATTGTTCACTTAACTGACCTTGATTTAACTAAATTTTTACATGTTAATTATATGGGAAAGTTGCCTATAATCTAACAATATCTCATGTTAAGCCTATGGAAATATTGCTTAGAATGCACACAATATCCTATGTAAAACCAAGGCTTATGATTACAAAATACTCTATTCTTATTATTAAGATGACACTATGTGTAATTTTGCACCATATTTCAAAATCCCATAGACTTAACATGGGACTTTTGTGCACGGATGGGTGGAGGGGATACATAGTGATTCTAGTATACAATTTCCATGGAAAAAGCGTATTTAAATACCATAAAATACCGTATAATACATTTTACACGTATAATACAGTGAAAAAATAAAATACCGTATTTTAATAGAGAAACGATGTATGGCCAGAGCACAGGGTGGTGTACTGGACAACAGGTTCTTTGATTGACGTCCCAATGAGTTGATCCAATTGTGGACATAATGAATAAACCCAATGATAACAAACTAACCATTTATTTACGACGGCGTTGGGGAGAGAGTCGATGAGTGTATGCGAGAAGTGGTGGAGTGTCTGATGAGACGGTTGAGGTTTGGCCACCACTTGCGATACGACTGGTGTGGTGTCATGAGTGAAGACTGTTGATAATGGTGTGTTCTAAGACTAATTGTATGGCATAGAGAAACCATATCTTAAATAGCTATTAGTGAGCTAATTGTCAGAATAGATGAGTACAGTACGACTGTAGTGGAAAGTACTGTAAGTGAGGCACAGGTATGACTGTAAGGTATACGTTCTGCTGATGACTCGTGTAGAGTATAGTCAACGATAGGAAGTATGTATAAGTCGTTACTAAATAAACAAAGAACTTGGTCAGGATCTGGCAGTCGATTCAGAGAGACTTTTAGAGTTACGATAAAACTTGGCTACGATTGGGAACAATCGTATCGTAAATCTCATTCAGTTTCACAAAACAATTCAATGTATTCTTAATCGTAGAGAGTATTCGCAAGTAAACGCATGCACTGTTTTACATTATACCTGTGTGTTGCTCACAAAACAAGTTATTCTAAACTAACTTTTTAATAATTGAATGGCAAAACAATAATCTAAAATATTTCTCTGCTATTATTTATTAAAAATTAATTTACTACAGTAAACTACAAATTATTAACTAAAATTTATATTTTAATTAAGTTTTAAATCATATAGCTTAAAATATTAAATAAATTAAAATATGTTTTATCTAACATAAAAATAATTAATTTAATTAAAAATATAAAGTAAAATAAACTAGCGAAAAACAAGTAAATTTATTTTTAAAATAGAGCAAAATAATGCTATGCTTTCACTTTAAGAGAGCTATAGAGCTCTCTTAAATATTGGCCATAACTTGCTATGTGTTTACTTTTGTGAAACACTTTGTTCGTAAGCCGTTCGTAAAAACCTGAATTTTGATCGTAACTCTATCGCAATCGTAACTCTGCGAAAGTTCGCAAATATCTCTCTGAAATGCAAATTCATACTTACGAACAAAGTTAGGATAAGAACTGCTAGCGATCGCTTTGTGAAATTGGCCCCTGGCTAAGTTGGCACCCGAGGTTTCATGGCTGAAAATTAAAGTATATTCTGAATATACAACTAAAGTATATAATGAATACCTGAATGTAGAGTATATAAAATATATATTTTAAGACATCAGGTTTGGCCAAGTAATTTTTTATTACCATCAAATTTAAATTTTAATTAAAGAATTTAATAAGAAATTCCTGAAATAGGTACTCGCTCATTTTATAAGCCGAAAACTGCGTTCAATATCACAATAAGTTAGCTGAATAGAGTACTCAAAACAGGCCAACTCTTGAGGACTTAAAAATCTTTTTCCAGATCAAAATATAGATACTGTACGGTATTTGGTCATTTGATCTACGGGACCTTTGACCTACAAATTCAAACACGTTATTTATGGGTGAAAACATTTTTAGGTAAGGTTAGGTTATGTAAGGAATTCAAAAATAACGTTGAAAAATAAATTCGTCCATAACGTAGATATTTAGAGACGTAGTTTATGAAAATTTTTTGAAAAATGTTTATTTTTTGTTCCTGAGTTGAATGAGGGTAAAAGTTCAATTTTGGACATTTGTAGGTCAAATGTCCGGTAGGTCAAATGACCCAAGACCTACTGTACAGTAGTTTTATAATTTGTTTTACAATTTTTCAATTGCTCTAACAGATTGAATAGTTTATTTTTATAATCTATCAATGAATTATATACAAATTCATAGACTTTTTTGTATAAAAATACAAAAACCATTAAATAGTTAATAAAAAGTTAATAAAGTTGCTAAAAACGTGAAAAGTCTGTATGTCTGTATACTAGTCTGTATATTATAAATATTATTGCTATCTCTCTCTCTCCCTCTCTCTCTCTCTCTCTCTCTCACCCGCCCTAGTATTAAGACATAGTTGTCAGGTATGATACGAGAATTTGTCACATGCTTTTCTGTTGGCCCACTCACATATACTGTAAGCCATTATTTGGGGGACATTTTGCCCATAAATAATACACAGGTGGGTATGAGCACCAAAAATCTTATTACAATTATTAATGAGCAAAAAAATATAATTTTACTTTATAACAAATATTGAGACTTATATTATAAATATAAGTTTAAATTATATACTTCCAAATTATTACACTAACCGTTACTGTATGTTCCAGTATTTTATTTCTAATTAAATTCGACAAGTTCATTAATTTATATTGTATATTAAATAAAAATATATAATTATATATTAATAGCAAAACAATGATCAAGATGATTTCCAAGGGATTCGTTATATTAATCATAAGCTCGACTGCAACAAAACAAACCCACGAAAGTGTTTACGGAAAGTAAGAATAGGATGACCGCCACTCTTGCCAACAAACCCGTTAAGGCTATGGGACCGGTAGTCCTGTCACATGACATACCCGCTGGGACTCAGTTGACGTTTGTGGACATCGCCCACAGTTTGGCCACAATTGATGTCAACTCCAAACTCAATAGATTTAGGTCTGGTTTTCAGTATTTCTTATGTAAATA